AGGACAGACATGTATGCATCACCTTTAGCCAGGTCCGGGGTGAAGTGAGGCGCGCTCTCGATGGAGGAGCAGTTCCAGCGCATGTCGCTGAAGGAGCTCCGGCACGCGCTCTTGGTGAGTCTGGCCGCGTGCACGATGCTGTGCATGAGCTCGAGGTTCCGTTTGCAGAGCTGCAGCTGATCTGGCACGAGTCCATCCAGCAGTTTACAGTGATGCGTCTGATTCCACCCCACCGAGCTGCCGTTTGCCGTTAAACCGCTGCAAACACAAACACCATGACTGAGCAAGTCTGCCGTAAATATCCAAAACATACATCTAACTTCTTTTTATTTTATAATGCTAAATTACTAACATGACTCGATAGGTTTTCAACAAGGTAATCGACAAAAACTACAGAAACAGTACAAATCATCTGTTGCAATCATGTGCCATTGAATTTAAAATGAACTTTATAATGAACTTCAGTGAATTGGTTCATAAAACCTATATGAATTATTCATTCGCGAACCGAATTATTCGAATAAAAATACTTACAGCCATGATATTCCTGTGCATGGATAAATCACGTCCAAAGACATGGCGAATAATAGAAGAAAATTCCTGCATGCTGTCATTTTGCTCTTCTGTCGTTTAGAAATCCTAGTGAAGTCCGGTTTGATATCTTTCCCAGTGGTCAAGATGCACACCGAACTACCTACGCGGAATGTGTCCGAGTCAAGTGAAGCTCTATCTCTTTCATAGTTCAGCTATGGGGCTCGACCCGCCCCTCCGCGCGTGGGCGGTCGCAAGATTCAGATTCAAGAAGCGCGCGGAGAGATTTCCAACTACAGTCAGTTTGCAGAAGGGAACACATAGCCTACTGAGAAAGAACAAAATAAACAACATTGTCTGGTCACGCCAGTTAAGCAAACAGCATACGCCAAATCTTAGCTGAATTAAAGTAGAGTTTATCAAAGCTCACTAAAGTGTTAGTTATCAAGCAGATCAAACAGGTTCTCATCATCTGTAAACTCTGCTTTTCAGGGTGTGCGCCTTCCCAAAGGAAACAATTGGGCTTTAGTCTTTTGAAGATTTCTGTCCAAACGGGATCAACGACTTGTTCATTTACATTAAAATCTGTTTGACTCGGCTTTTCCCTTCAGATAAGCCGGATTTCTCGTTCCTCTAGCCTTACAAGCGCAAACATCTTAAAACAGCAGTAGGTCACTGTAACCGGGCAAAAGCCGCCGGAGTCATTAAAAGACAATGATCCATTTAATTCTATTTTATTCTAAACAAAATTTCCCAGTACTACAGTATTCCTAAATCTCATTTATGGGCTCTTCGGGATTAAGAAAAGCAGAATTTTACACTGTTGCGCCGCTTGAAATCTGCCTCACATAGCGACTAGTCCAGTTAACAAAACAAAAAAAGGAAACTGGTAATTACAATGGTATCGTCAGCAGTATCCATTAAATACGTGCTGTCCCGCCACACTCAAGCAGCGCGGCTCGTTGGTCTAGGGGTATGATTCTCGCTTAGGGTGCGAGAGGTCCCGGGTTCAAATCCCGGACGAGCCCTACTTTACATTTTCAAAACAATATCTGATTCGATTATTTACTATTAAATGAACACATATACAAGCGCCAAATAACGTCCGTGCACTAGAACTGTTCAATAAACACAAATCTATTTTACTCGTATGATCAGCCGATGCTTATTCAGTTGAGTTGAATGTGCCTCAGCGGCGGGCATGTGAATGGCGGCGCTGAGACGGTGCTAATCACTCTAGTCTGATCATCACATAGGTGTGAATATTCACAGGCTCCAGAGCGGCCATACTCACCGAGACAATCAGAAATAACATATCCCTCACCTTTGCGAGCGGGCAGCTCGGCCACTCCACGGAAAGGCGAGAAAAGTTGCTCTTTGATTCGACTCGTCCTTGAATACAACCCTCTGAAATGTGTCGGGACAAACCAGAATCACGAATAGACTGCTTATTGATCTAGCAATGGGCCATCAGCGGCCGAACGGCAAACTGGAAATGTAATTGATGTGCATGCGAGTGCGTGAATTAGTCGGGATTAAGATCAAACAAACCAGTCCTCCTTTCTTTAATGGAGCCAGAATAATACAAATATTTTACGGGGTTGCTAATCCCATCAACAAATCCTGCCATAATCGGAGGCCTAATCATTTTATGGTTTTATGAGCTGTGTGTGCTGTAAATAAGCGACATAATTGTATTTGTATCAATAAATAAACCTACTTAGTTATCTAAGGTTTCAAAAGGTCTTACAATAAATCATAAATAAACGAAACGAAATACTGTATTTTTCTGTGCTGTAGTGCAATGCTCTGTACTTTTTAAAGAGAGACTGGAGAGTCTTTCAGTTAAATTTGACCTTTAGTTGACCTTTTGAGATCCCAAAATTTCAGTAAAGTACATTTATATAATATGTCACAATTACACTTTTACAGCATAAAATTCACATTGACAAATGAGTTCTTGGACTAGAATGCAAACTTAAGAAAGCCATATTGAAGAGATCAATTAAATTAGGTGTGGAACTGATCAACTTGAAAAAGTGATAAGGAGCCAATAAGCATTTGGTTTGAGGAAGGTATTCCCTCCAAAATCCCATTTAGGTAGTTGTACAGAAGCCTAAAATATTTCCAACCTTATCATTATTAGTATTATTTAAGAAATGTAATAGCATGTCCTTTATCTCCATAGAGGTTTAAATATGATAGAAGGCATGATGAGGCACCACTGCTCCGGGTGTGTGTTCACTGCTGTGTGTGTGCACTTAGGATGGGATAAATGCAGAGCACTAATTCCTATGGGTAACCTTGGCCACATGTCACGTCACTTTCACTTTTTTCACTTTCATAGAAGAGAGCCTAGTTAGCAATAGCAAATCATATTCTTATTCTTGTTTACAGGGGCTCTTCACTATGCACCAGTACAGTGTTAAAAAAACTGGACTTCAGCAAATCTTTTGTTCTGAGCAATAACAGAAACATGAAAGAGCTACGGATGATGAGGTGTGAGATGAAGATGTCTCACCTAGAAACCATTGCGTAGAGTTCACCTGTTTGAAGCAGTCAGGGGGCTTGTGAGGACGAGCCCTTTGCTTTCGGTTTTGTGCTCTTTGACGTAATTGTCCTGAGATTTTAGACAAAAGCTTAGCACCAAGAGCGTATCCTGTCTTTTGCATTTGTTTAATGTAGACAGTAAGACAGAGGAATGTGGAAACAGGTGACGAAACCTTCATGTTTGTGAAAGAATGACACTGTAAGGTGTTATTAGCTGTTACGCCATCCTCCAGACCACTTAACACTGGATACACACAGGCAGAAAGGATGTTTCTGTTCTAGACAGTGTGGAACAGCAATGAAGTTGAGGTATGCTTAGTGAAACTGATTTGGTTTCTCCACTGAGAGTTTGAATCAACATGTCAGTCACACGTTCACAAATACAGTCAGTTTTTAGATCTGATTAAATTAGGCCACAAACATCTCTGTATATGACTACAAGAATATACTGATGGTCATATTTGAATTACATGACTGAATTTACAGGTATTAGAAAACAGACCAGTTTTTTTTAATTGAACACTAGGTGGCACTGCACACCAACTGGCCCAAAACTGCAGTTCTCACTCTAATCCACGGTTTCTCTGGGAACATTGGGAATTGAAACACACTTTAAAAACAGTCTTCCAAAAACAATTTAATAGGACATTAAAAACTTTACAAAAGAGCAAAATATCTTATGTACATATATACAGTCCCTGTATAGTTTACAAATATACATTATCTTCAGTAAAACAGGACTACATACAGTATACAAATCACTTACCTACAAAGACACTCGTATCTAAAACACACACACACACACACACCAGAAACAGAAACAAAAACAAGCTGTCGGTCGGATGTGATGTTTGAGGGAAGAAAAAGGGAGATATAAACAACAAATCTATCAGAACACAATCACATTCAGACTCCCCTGGTTTTTTACATTTCCATGTGGATACAGAGGGAACATGCAGAGGAAACCTGAGGGCAGATAACCAGCTCTCTTCAGAAGGTTCCAGATAATTCCCATGCTTCTTTTTATTCCAAGACCTATGAACGCACAATAAAGCAGTTTGTTCTCACTGTGAGGATCTGATTCCTATTAACTAAACTACACTCGCATAATTCAGTTTTTCTCTACAAACCATTCAGATCCACAATCCTGAGCTGTCACTTGGGCGCTGGAGAAATCTCAAGGGCTGATTCATGACACTGATTTTTTATCAGTATACGTTGGAGTGAAAGACAGGCTCATATGTTTGGAATGGAATACTACCTTATTGCTTACTGTATACTGTGTGCAGTATATACTGAATACTGCCTACTGTTTTTAAAACCGGTATATGCAACAGAATAGAGTATGAAACGCGGTGTTTCAGTAGTATTCTAGTTCAAGTTGCATGATCAATTCACCGAGTTATCATCTTATATGTTTTTTTTTTTTTAAATCATTTTTTGTGTGTGTAAAATTGTCTATTTTAATGAGGATATCTGTGGGATTTTGCATTGTGGGATACAGTATTCAGCATATACGCTACTGAACAGCATTCATTTGAAATATAAATCTTTTGCAACACTGTAAGCGTCTTTAGTGTAACTTTTGACCAATTTAATGCATTCTTAAACTTAAAAAATATTACTGACCCAAACTTATTTTAAACAGTAATTTTTTGTGTGTGTGTAAAATTGTCTATTTTAATGAGGATATCTGTGGGATTTTGCATTGTGGGATACAGTATTCAGCATATACGCTACTGAACAGCATTCATTTGAAATATAAATCTTTTGCAACACTGTAAGCGTCTTTAGTGTAACTTTTGACCAATTTAATGCGTTCTTAAACTTAAAAAATATTACTGACCCAAACTTATTTTAAACAGTAATGTGTGTGTATGTGTGTATATATATATATACACACACACACACACAATATTATATATATATATTAGAGTACAGCATGCATTCTATGTACTGTAGCAAAAGTAATCGCAGTACAACAGTATTCTATTCCAAACACAGCCAGACTCAGTGCTTCATTTGCTATAGAGAAGCACTACTGTCCCCTACAGGAGGCATATGGTATTGTATTGCATATTCAGGATGATGTTGGAAGACTAGGACACTAGAAAGCCATTATGGATTATCATCGATTTCAGTGCCTGAACTACTGCCATCACTCAGTTTTTCCCACAGGTAATTACAGGTAGAGAGCAAAGAACCATAAAACTGTACATTTCAGAATTGCATGACTTCATATCAAAAATGGGTATGTTGACTGCATTTGTAAAGATTTAATGATAACTGAACATAGATATTCTGTTTTATACATTGCCATAATCAGTGCTTAATAGAAAAGTACACAGGTTCACTATTTATGTGTTTTTGAATCTATTAAAGTGTGTGTCTGTTATGCTACCGGTGCATTAAATGAATAGAGTATCTCACTCCGTTCACAGTTCCAGTCACTGCAATCATGTGCTACGCGTGCTGGATAACACATACACGCAGCAGCTGTAAGGGCACTCAGCTCATCCAGTCGCTAGGTGGAAGCTGCTAGAATGGCTGATACAATGCATCTTGGTTATTCACCAGGAAGCCAGTCTGTTGATTTAATAATTTGTGGCGAAAATTGTGTTGCTAGTGTTTGGGGAATGATGGAGGCTGTTTCAGTGCTCAGAGAGAATTGGATCTTTTTGTCAGTGTTGGTGATGCTACATAGTCACATTTGCCTGATGCTCGGCAGATATGTAGATGAGCCCGGTCGTTCATAAATGGTTGGCTCTGTGTCCTTGGGGGCGGTGCTAATGAGACATACTGGCTCAGTTGAGTTCAGTGGGTGTGGTCTGTGAGCTCATCAGCGTGATGCGTGTCTGATCGGGTCGACCCGTACGCCGATGGGCTCAGGTGTGTCCGGCGGTAGGGGCGTCCCCTAGACGGATGCTGCCGAGGAAGGTGGTGTGGTTGCTCATGGAGATGGAGGTGTCCTCGTACACCATGCGGATGGAGATCCTCTGGCGGGCTCGCAACAAACACACCCCCGCGGTGTAGCAGGTGTTGAACTTGCGCTGGCCGGTCTCGATGCTTCGCGTGCAGCGTAAGAACGGAGTCTTATCAACCATCAGCTCATAACTCGCTATGTCCGTGAAGTTTAGGTAATATACCTGTTGAACACACAGACACACAAGGAAAGCAAATTGGGATAATGGTTACTGATTTCTAATCATGGTAATATTGGAAAAATATATATTTTGTTGTACTGTATGAAATGTAGACTGTATTTGTTTGTGTATAAGCAGTAGAGTTAGTCCAGGGACTGTACTCACTTCTACCTGACTATATATAAAATATGTTCCGTCAAGTAGGACTTCCAGCTCTCCAGAGCGTGAGTGCATTTTAAACACTCTCTGATGGATTGAGATCATTCTCCAATTTTTCAACACACCTTCTGACAAATCTCACAAACAGACACCAGTAAATACTCAATCATCTGTTATGACAGCAGCGACACATAGTTAACACACACGCACACACACACACACCAGGGCTCAATTATAAGGAGGTTTTTCTCCGATTTCTACTTGCCTTGTCAAAATTTTCACTGATATATTATACATTTCTCATTGATAATTTAATTATTAAAATTTTTTTATTACACACACACACATTAAAATCAGTAACAATTAGAAATATTACTACAATTCAAAATAATGTTTTTAATTTTAATTTTTTAATTAAAATGTAATTTATTCCGGTGATGCAATACTGAATTTTCAGCAGCCATTACTCCAGTTTTCAGTGTCACATGATCTCTCAGAAATCATTCTAATATACTGATTAGATGCTTCAGAAACATTTCTTTATTATCAACACTGAAAATAGTTGTGCTATTTTTTGTATGTTTTCAGGATTATGTGATGCATAGAAATTTCAAAATAACAGCATTTATTTGAAATACAAATATTGTGTAACCTTATAAATGTCTTTACTTTAAAATATCTTTATGCTTTTGATAAATTGTGTCCTTGTTAAATCAAAGTCTTAATTTCCTCCTGACTCCAACGGTAGCATATTTTTTCTTCATGAAATGTTAATTTTTATTTATGTACTTATTTAAAAATTTTTTTTTTTTACAAAGAACATTTACAACAGCCAGTGGGCCATCCTTATATTTGAGCCCTTCATACAACCTTTAACAAATGAAAGTCATTCCAACACACAATATCAATAAGCATTATGAAGCATATGTATAGTTGTATGTGGGAGATCATTATTTAACTCTTACCTTCTTTCACCTGGATAGTAGTTTCCTGACCTTGAAGATGCACCACAGCTGGCTACAGAAATATCATGTTTAAATTCACAAATTCAAAAAACAACAACAACACATTTTCTATGTACTTTTGATGCACAGATTTATTAGCATGTTCCAAATGTATCTGATCTACACATCAAACATCCTCTTACTACTTATTACTGAGATAATATAATATGGAGAGATGAGCAGTGTGGCGGTGAAGATCAGGAGATGGTGCATACCTGTGTCTCTCTGTGTTTGCCTTTATCTGTGCCACCTGTTGACACACAGGGGGAAAGAAATTAGTTGCTTTTGGTCTTTTATTAATTGCTTATGATCTATTCACACCAGCAGTGAATGTATGCTACACATCCTTGCAGCAACAAGCCTTTCAATTAAAAAAAATGAATTCCAATGGATTGCAAAAACTTGCACAACAATGAAGCAACATTTCAGTCGATTTTGTAATTGTGTGGTGTTGCTCTGTTGCATTTAGGCATGGGCCGGTATGAGATTTTGACGGTATGATAACCTTAAGCAAAAAATATCACGATTTCACGGTATTGTCGTTACAGCTCTAAAATGTGTTATTTTTAAATGACTGGGTAAAAAAAAAATTTCCGCTGAACACAATATATTTTTGTTTTTGAGCAACATACAGAATATTAGGAACAGTAGAATTTGTTTATTTTTTCTTTGATTTGTTTCCTAAAAAGAAGAAAAATAATGACTGACATCTTTATTTAACCTAAATCTGTAATTACAGTTATTTAATTTTAGTTATATAATTCATATATCATTTATATCATTTCATATACATAATCTGATTTAATAATAACCCAATTTGAAGCAAAAACAGAACGGTCTGACTAGCTTTGTGAAATTATACTACATGCCTGAACGAAGCAAACAACAGATGCTCTGAATGAGATGCAGATTCACTCTCTGACAGCAGGAGGCGCTTCTGGAACACCAGATACAGGGTTTCCTTGGTTACTACTGTAAACAAAGCAGCACTGCGCTGAGGCCTGTGTTAATGGGCGTTTACAGACATTACCGTGGAAAGTAGGGGTGCTGGGGGTGCTGTAGCACCCCCTGGCTCGGAGCTAAAGAAAAAAATGGGGGTGCTGGGGGTGCGGTGTTAAAAAATAAATAAATTAAAATTTTGTGACAAAAAAGAAATAAAACTAATTTTATTAATTTTGCATAAGTTCCAGGGGAAGCTCCTTCAGTCGTCATACACACACACACACACGCGTGACTGACCGCTTGTTCACACCAACAGGAGGAGGAGGGTCGTGTTACTCTCTACACTGCACTCAACCTGAGGGATTCCTACACTTTCAGTCTTTGAGGAGACATGAAAAACAGCGCATACTGCAGGAACGGTATAACGGAAAATATTAGCGGTTTTGAAACCGTGACATTTTCAAATCGCGGTATATCTTGAAACCGGTAATCGGCCCATGCCGCATTGTTCTTGATGTGAGCAGGCCTTTAACAACGGCATAATATGGAAATCAAATTTTTTCTTCCCTAAGACGTATATCAGAGTGAAGCAGCTTCTTGAATAAGCAAAAAAAGTAGGATGGGACCTGATTTTGTCCACTGGGAATTGATTGGTTCGTTGTTGTTTGCTATTGCTGCGATCTCATGTGAGTGACAGTTTGCTGAAGGGAAGAGCTTATTGTCAGAGAAGAGATGTTGTTGCAAAGGGGAAGATTTGATTCAATTTTGATTAAAGATTCCAATGGCACATCAATTTAAAAATGGAATTCCATGAACAAGAAATGTCCATTTTGATTTCATGTTGACTTTAAACTAGCAGCTTGCTGTGACTGCGTGCAGAGGCAAGTGTCTGTATTAACCTGAAGGTCCCTGTGGTCCAGGTGGCCCTGCGGGTCCAGGAGGTCCGGGTGGGCCAGAGGGACCCATCGCGTTACTGCCTGGGATTCCCGGGATCCCTGGTATTCCAGGTGGACCTTGTGGACCAGGTGGGCCTGGGGGTCCAGGAGCGCCAGGGGGTCCTTTCTTGCCTAAAGAAATAAAAAAAAAATGCAGGAATCTGTCATAAACTAAAACATAAAAGCCCTCAAAACTGCCACATTTAAAAAAATAAATAAATAACAGAATGAAAATGATGAAATTACCTTTTTTCCGCTCTCCTTTCTTTTTTCCATTAGTTTCTGGAAGAGGGATAAGCAGCAGGAAAAGATAATCAGTTAGAAATGTATCATTTTACATTCACGATCACAAATGCAAAAAAATGTTCTTACTGGGCTTCTGCTTTTTTCTTCCAGAAAAGAGACTGATTTATTCAATCAGACTGTTTATTTGTTTCAAAGTAGCTAAACTGATAATGACATTCACATGACCACAGAAAAACAAACCCCAAATGTAATTTGAAGGACAATTGCTTCTGCTGGTGTCTACAAATAACACACACACACACACACACACACACACGTCTCACTGTACAACAAACTATAATACTGAAGCAACAAAAGTAGACACAAGAGTCAAACGATATCTAGTAAGAGTGTTTGTGTGAATGTGTAACAAATCCAGCACATCTGTACTAAACAAGTCTGACAAAATCCACTGTTTTATAGTTTAAAGTCTAGCCTAAACACACACACACTGACTCTCACACGGAGACTCTCACACGGAGACAGATCTGTGTTCCTAAGGCCTGAGGTCACTCTTGTGTTTGTGTTGGCTAGTATTCGGGGGTCTTTTTTCACAATAAAACTACTTCAACTCATTTGTAAATGACTGCTGCTTTCATTGTGTTGTCTGGTGGGCTTCGCACGCGATATCTCTTTTTCTCAAAACACAGAATATCAAAAGTGAAGAGAAACAACTTGCTGCCTTTAATCTTTTCTTTTAATCTTCCTTTTTTTCTCATTATATGAAAAACAACAGAAAGGGGGGAGGGGGGCAACATGCACATACATAAAATCAAGCAAGCACAACAAAAACCAAACCTGACACACATAATAAGCATGCAAAGAACTTGACCTGCCTTCAGTACCTCCCTGCAGATGTCCCTGTCTTTTTTATAAAACAATCAGGGATGAACTCACCAAATAGTTGTTTATTTCAGCGCAAACCCTGCATCTTTTTCACATACCACCCGCAATCCTGTTTAAACAGCCACAATTAACACAGTGATTTTACTGGCCATAGAAAGCAGATGGACAAAATGGTTAAAGAATTAATTCAGTTAAAGCATACAGTTTATTTTAAAATGGACTTTGTGTCAATTTTCTAGTGATCTTTGAAGTGGAAACTATAGCCAGATTGACTTTGTGTCCCTGCTCTAACAACACAGTACTGACACAATGGCCCATAAAAAAATGCTTTTCTCTTTGGAACTGTCAGGGGCTTCACACATCAAATGTTTAATATTTCAATCATATTATTTTATTACTGAAGTGTATTCAAGTTGCGGGTTTTGAAAACTAAAGATGAAAATAAACAGGCAAATATGACATTTTCAGTGAATTCTGTTCTCAGTATGAACAAATCCTTCAGCCCACTTCACAAAGCCTTGGTTTGTTTTGTAAAACCTTTATTATCTACGTAGTAAAAAAAAAAAAAACCTCTTAGTCAGAACATTTTGACAGTACTGACACAATGGCCCATAAAAAAATGCTTTTCTCTTTGGAACTGTCAGGGGCTTCACACATCAAATGTTTAATATTTCAATCATATTATTTTATTACTGAAGTGTATTCAAGTTGCGGGTTTTGAAAACTAAAGATGAAAATAAACAGGCAAATATGACATTTTCAGTGAATTCTGTTCTCAGTATGAACAAATCCTTCAGCCCACTTCACAAAGCCTTGGTTTGTTTTGTAAAACTTTTTTTCTATGTAGTAAAAAAAAAAAAAAAACCTCTTAGTCAGAACATTTTGACCAGATTACCACATGTAATGTTTGTTTTGTCCCTGCAGCTTTAGCAAATCCACTCACCTGATTTACAAAACGTTTGCTAAACATAATGAAAATATCATAGTTTAATTAATCTCAGGTTTTGTGAAATTGTCAACCCAGTGGCGCAGATTGATCAACAGAGTGAATGAACTCCCTCTGGTGGAGCCGGTGAGCCTCAGAGAGCTTACATCAAGAGAAGCATCAGGGAAAGGTAACATTTATATTGTAGTTGAAACTCCAGTTTTACAAAGGAATATACATGCAACTAAGATATTTTTAAAAGCAACTCAAATTATTATATAAGAAAAAGTGCTTTTAAATTTTGAACTATGAATAAAATACAAATATAAAAAGTTTGTGTACATGCATATTTACTTTAGGGTTACCTGACATTGGGCATGTCTGTGTTTGTTTTATGGGAGAAGAAAGAAAGAGTGTTAAAAGTCTTTAATGAATGGAACAAATTAGCATCAAAGACTGACAATATTGGAACCATATTTCACACCAAACATGCAGCTGCACACACAAACACACCGAACACCAGCTGTACATTCACAAAGTTAACGTTTATGAGGCCACAAAGTTAGTGAGTTTGTGTATGTCCATGTGCAAGTGCTTTGACCCATGAATCTGAGAACTGGGAATGATCAGTATGACTTTTGATCACAAGAATGGATTTAAATGGCTTCCTTATTAAACCATGCATGTACACACAGATGCTCACACACAGTTGGACACTCGCAATAATACTCACCTAACACAGTCTGATGCTTGGATTTTATACTCACATCTAATCAATTAAAATCTGTTGTCAACATTTCATGGAAATTTAGTTGAACAGAATTACAACTAAGCCATAAAAATCAACAACAATATGAGTTATGTGCGTGGATGCTGTTCAAAATGAGCTCACAGCGATGAGTGAGGTCTATAATTTCAAACACACACATTGAGCTGTATGCAATATCCTAGTCTACATAACAGTATGTTCGGGATTTATGAACATCCATGCACTGCTGCCAAATATACAGAGATTTACAGCTCAGCATATTACAGGCATTATCTGAGTCCATCTGCAACACACCTGAGTGTGCCACTCTACTAGTGTTTAAGAGAACTTAATGTACAATTTAGTGCACAAGACTCCCACACACAGACACAACAATAATCTCAGAAATACTGGGTCTCGTTCAATAATTCATAAACAATTTTACTTATGTAAATGTGCTTACATAGCTTAAAAAGACACACTTACAGCAAGGGTAAAGTTTGGTATTCTCAATACCAGTTGAACCACAATAATTGCCTTTTGTGTTTAAATTGATAACTTTGTTATCAATAACAAGTTATCAATTTAAACACAAAAGGCAATTAATATGCATTTGACCGTTTGCACGCGGTCACATTACCACAAGTTAACATAGCACAACTGTCTAGTGCTGAAATGGGACAGTTGATGACAATTTATGGGGGTAAAACTATACAAACTGCTCTCAGGCTCTCAGGTGCTGTCTGCTGGCTTCTGCACCAAAATATCATTTTCTGTAGACCTCATATTCTCGTTTGATCTCAGAAAAAGGTGAGATTTCAGCGAAAACAGTCAGTAGTTGTGACATCCTTCAAAATCCATCTCTTTTAAGTCTGCTAATAATAGTAGTAGTAGTAGTAGTAGTAGTAACAATATTAATTTACTACTACTACCTTTACAATAAAATATTTCTTCTTCTTATTATTATTATTATATATTCAGGTTGGCTGAAAGTTTAAATGAAGTAGAATATGACTATAGTGGGCCAAAGGAAACAATGTCTTAGTATTTAAAATACAAATCTTAATGTCATTCTACCAATGTGCCAATTATAATGCCTTAAGGATATCATATAATTCCTTACTGTACTTTACATCTCATTTGTTGACATTAACCCGCACTATATCATCTACCCTATATGTAGCATCATCAGTAACCTTGCTTTCCAGACATCTGCTTCAGCATCGTTTGAGATGGCATGCGTGCACATTATCTGTGTTGTATGGGTATTTGTTTTGGCACATGACGCACACAGGTGCAAAAGCTGAAACAGTAGAACTCCCGATCAGAGCCAGTGACTGCACAGCCATAATCAAAGCCAAACCACCTGCCAATCAAACCGCTGCCAACTGGAGCCAATCACGGCGGTGGAAAGAGGAGTAGGTAACCCAAGCTAGAGGCAACCAATGAGAAAGCAAGAGAGCAAGAGAGGAGCAATATCAGTTTGTTAGAAGCTACCAGAATGGAAAAAGGAGAGGGATTTCACATATAAACTACTGGTGCGCACAGCATAGCCCAGTAATGAGTAAGATGGAAGGAATGAACGAGGGGGAGAGAGAGAGAGTGAGAGGTAGCATGATCAAATGAAGGAAATGCATCTCGTTCTGAACTCTAAACCACATCAAAGAGAAATCGCTGGCAATCTCACAGGCTTTATACTCACGCATACACATGTACACACACGTACACACACACACACACACACACACACA